GAGAGAGAGAGAGAGAGAGAGAGAGAGAGAGAGAGAGAGTACCTAAGCACAAAATGTTACACTTACTGAATGGTTCACCAGTTCTTGGTTTGTGGACAGTCATTCTTATGGTAAAAAAAAACTATGTTGTGCAGAAAAATAAACTGAACAACTTTTGCCTCAGGGTCAGATTGAAATTATGTGCCAAATTTACTTCAAAAAATAAACAAAAGAAACTAGGCTACCAGATTGGCCCGGGACCACTTGCCCGGCCGGGCCAAAAAATAGAGAAAAAAAAAAAAAAAATTGTTTTAAGTTTGGTAAAGATTTTGGATGTGACCCAGTTTATTTTTCTGCATAACATAGCCTTTTTTCTGGATTTTCTGGATTTTTTGGATTTTTTGGATTTTTTGGATTTTTTTTAATATTTTTTTTTGGCTGGGAGCTTTCCTGGTCCTTGCACGGCCGGGCCGTCCGGGAAAACAATGTGGCCCGGGCGGCCCAGCTGGTAGCCTAGCAAAAAAATACTTGGCTGGGGCAAGTTGTCCTGGGCCACACTGGTCACATAGCCCAATCATGGATTTACAGAATGCATCATTGTTCATTGCACTCCATGCATGCATTGCCCACGTGTGCAGTGTGCTGCTGTACTCTGCAATTGCATGCCAGTCTGTTGCGGAATCTGTCAACTGCATGTCACCCATCAAGATGCAACAGTCTGCCAATTAGAGACATCAATCCAAAGGGAGTCTAGTCGCCTCCGGTGATTTCTCACTGCGGATTCTCAGGGTTCAATAGTCTCCTTTTCTTCAGGAGTATTTGGTTTCAAATCTTTTGATGATAATCACTGACTTCAGTTTTAAGTTTTAACCTACGGGAGGCTCTGTATGAAAACCTGCTCCAGCAAAGACCATACATACTTGTGTCGCATGACGGGTGTGCGTGCAGTGCACAGGCCCACTGCACATGAGAGTCATACGCCATGTGCAAGAAAATAGTTGGGGTGTGAAAACCAAACAGGGGAGGGGTGAACAGTGGTGGCACCCTTCACCCTCCCTGAAAGAAAATAGTCAAATCATTTCGTGCAAATCTCTGGGCACTGCGCTCAACTGAAGCCTGCTCAGAGAACCTAGGTTCTGAAGAGTCAGTGACGACATGCTCACAGACGAACATTTTGAATGCATCTAGCGGCAACTGTGCCCAGACGCACCTCCAATGCTCCAACACAGGATACTACATGTGCAGACAGAGAGAGCAAAAGAGAGAGAGAGAGAGAGAGAGAGAGAGAGAGAGAGAGAGAGAGAGAGAGAGAGAGAGAGAGAGAGAGAGAGAG